TGTCACTGAAATCAACCTGTTGTCATTTTATAGCATACCAGTAAAGGAAAGATTTGTAGCTAACTGTAGCAATACCTTTTTCCAGTTAACTGATGAACACTAGCTGTGTCCCAATTCTGAGGCCACATTTGAAGGCCGATTACGTCACAGCCAGGCGACGAAGGCTGTCCCACTTCAAAGGCTGCTCCAAATGCAGCCGACAAATGCATCCTTCATTTCCCCAAATGTGAAGGATGGGTCAGGTGTATTTTACATGGAAGCAATACCTGCAGCAAACAGGGGTGAGTCTAAAGGGGGGCACGGGATGTGCTAGACCACATTAATTTCAAAAGCCAACAAGAATGTATATGGGCCATCAAACTATTAGCCACTAACCTGAGGGTTGTGAATTATTATTAATATTAACATTAACGTCTACGCCAAAAACTTGTCTCCTATTAAATCACAAAGCCTCCCATAAAGACAGAGTAAAGATACATTTTTTTATGCCTTATTTAGATTATATGTATATCTTATCTAATCTGATTTGACCTTTTACTGTACTTGAGATTATTGATATATTTTTGCATTTGAGAAAGCGTTTTCTTTAAAGGTAATTTCAGGTAATTTCAATATACACACAAAGGGTTTAGGTTTATTCTGACAGATGTGAAGTTAAACTTTAAAACATTGCAAAAATCGAAAATTAGAAGCAGTTCATTCTTCATTCATTAATAAGACAAAAGTATTTCCTATCTGAATATTTAAACAATTGATGGAATAATCAATAGCTTACTCAGTTACTAAAATAATCAATAGCTGCAGCCCTAGTGTAAATTATTGGACCAATCCAGTATTGTGTGTGTATTTTGTTTTAACATAGTCTAGGCCTAAAAATGATACACAAACCTGATTCTCTGTACTGGAAATATTACATTGCCCCTGTAAAATTAAATGGAAATATCATTGAATTGTGAAAGGTTTGGTGATGAATGTTTGGAGAGGTTGTGTGGTTTTCTCTGTCATGCTGCATTTAATGTAGCTTATGGAAGGGAAAGTCGTGTTCACAAGTTCTGCATTTTATATTTGGGTTTGAAACCATTTTTTCATTCGTTATATGAAAGTAAATTTCACATGGCTTCATTAAATGTCCAAAAGTTATTGTACCAAAATCCCCAGCTGATTTTGAAGATGTGGGAACTTTTTCTAGATTGGATTGACTGTATATGGAATGACCCTGCACTAAAAAGCTGGTAATTTTCTTTCTTCTTTGTTTGTAATAGAAAGTCAAAGTATCTTGACAGCACTATTTGGTATTCACACATTTAACATTCAGCCTCAGCATGCAGGGTACTGATGGTTTTGAAGATTTCAGCATTGAATTTTTCCAGCAAGGATCGCTGGGGTTCAAAACTGGCTTGAAACAGTTTTAAACAGTCGCATAGCAACAGCGAGTCAGTTTTAGCGTTTTCCAGAGGAGCCAGCAGAAATATGACAAACAACACGTAACAGCACACAACACAAACTGTTGCACCTGAAGCTTCACAGATGTTGACTACCCAACACCAACAGGAAAGATGTCTTTGCGCTGTTAATGTTTTCCCTTTTTCTTTACACCACTTCCTCTTTCTCATTCACCTTCTGACTCTCCACCCTTCATCATCTTCTCCATCATCCTCCACACCTCTTAATCCAAAGGCTTTTCAGGGGGGTGAACTAATCCATTGCACACTTTCTTAAAATAACAGACGGAAGAACAACTAAAGTGGAGATGAAAGTGCAGGCTGCTCTCATCTACAGAGGGCAGACATCTGACAAAGGCCCAAAGTAAAAACCAAATTAGATAAGAATCAGCTGGAGTACATGCCCTCTGTCAAAAGCCTGCCACAGCAGGGGTATTTTTAATTTAGTGACAGAAATATCTCACGTGAGAGGAGAAGATGCGATGATGAATCTGAGCAGTTGTGACGTTAAAAAGGTATTTTTAGAACATCAGGAGTGCGAAGAATTCAACCGTGAACTTGTGAGGGGGGTGCCTGTGGGTTCACGGTGAACGTTCAGTCAGTAAATACGTAAACAAGCCTTATCAGAATAGAAATGAGCTTGGAAGTGGCATTGAATTCTACCCACAGTTCGTGCGTGGACTTTTTGTACCTCTGCTTTGAAGTCTGGATCACAGATTATTGCAGAACATGCAAGAAAAAAAAACAGCAGTCATGCTTTCTATGTCAAGCAAAATTGGGCAGGACTGGCCGCTAATCCTCAGTTAATAAACACTGAAACAGAACCTGTTAAAATCCAAATAACGGCACCTTCTTCAAATTAAATATCTGTACTTTTTTCAGTAAAACTAAATTAACTGCTCCATTTCATCTTAAAACTGAGCCGCTATATGCTCATACAATCAAATCAATAAATCCCTTTTTTCACTTTTATTATTATTCCACATGAACAGCGGGGTTTTGCTGATGGACAGTGATATCAGGGATTGATGATGGTCAAAGTTAATGGCTGTAGCTGGCCAATTGAAGCAAATTTGATCCCACTTCCCCAGTGATGCATTAAGTTATCTTCAGATTCAGATTCATAATAAGGGATATATAGTTTCATTTTGCACCTTCCACATAAAACCGACATATAACCATGTATGTGTGGAACAACTACAGTGATGCATCATTACTATCATCAAATGGGAGAAAAAACAGGAAGACATTAATGACCGCTGAACTGACTGATGTGACCACCTTTGTGCGTCTCCTTGACATTTATCCCCACCGGTAAAGTATGTTGGTGAAAAATGTACCTTTGTGTAAGGAGGGACAGTGAAGTTAGTATATTTGTATACCTTTATGATTTATGCTTTATGCTTCAGGGGGAAATCTACACAGTAGTAACTACACTAATGCCAGCACAAGCATAAATACAGGCAACGACGTCGGCCACTTACATGAGTTTTGTCGTAGGGTCTACAAAGATTGTCCTCAGAAGTCTGAATCGGGAGTATATTAAAAAAATATAAGTGCTGTAAATGTCATGACTTAATAACGTTATTGCTGTTCACCTGATACCTGGTCACTTACGATCACTTACCATGTTGACTAAGGCTACATTCACACTGCAGGCGAAAGCGCATCAAATCCGACTTTTTTGACCCTATGCGACTCATATCCGATCATGGTATGACAGTGTGAACAGCATAAATCTGATATTTTCAAATCCAACCTGGGTCACTTTCGTATGTGGTACTGAATCCGATACATATCTGATGTTTTAGAAAACGACTGCTGTTCGAATGGTCATGTTGCATTAAATCTGTCTTTTAAGTCACTGACACAAGACAGACGCCAATTAACAGTGCCAGAGAAGACAAACGAGAAAGCATGGTGGCGGAAACTGGAGACAGAGCGAGTCAACCCAAAAGAAAAGAAATAGAAAAAACTTATAAAAGACTTGCATAAGATTTGGCTTACTTCATATAGTGAATCATATACGGCTTATAATGAAAGTGGCCACTTTCTCATTACTTTCATATATTGTTTTAGGAAGTATCCAAAACATACAAGTTTCATTTATATAATCTTTCAAGGGATCTTACATCTGCTTTCACTCCTGTATGCTTTTCATACAAGTTTCACACAAGACAGATAAAAACTTTATTAGAAACTGAGGTTTTGGACTTTATTAGAGGGCAGGGATAGCTCAGTAGGTAGAGTGGTTGCCCCATGCTCAGAAAGTCGGGGGATCGAATCCACTGAATGGCTACCCTGAGCTATCCCTAAGCAAGATACTGTTCCCTGCTACTTAGTGGCTGCCTGCTGCTTCGCTGAGTGAATGGGGCACATGCAGAGAGAGTGATTTCCCCATGGGGATGAATAAAGTATACATTATTATTAGCATATGGGGAGAAATTGATAGACTGCTGCAACAACACCTAGTAGTTGCTCTGCAGCTGCCATTTTTACTTCCATAAACAGAGCTCGTAAACAGAGCGCGTAAACAGAGCGCGTTATGTGTGACGTCTTCTTTTGAGGGGCGTGAACCGTTCATACTAAAGCGAGTTTGCTGTCACATTTTATTTGTAGTGTGAACAACCTAGTGTGGATATTTCGCTTTCACCAAGCTGTGTTTTGTTGAGCCACACATCATACATTACACTGACTGGATGTTGCTACCATAATGGTAGGCTCCTCTGCTTCCTGGCGGCAATGTTATCAATCATCAGCAATGCCACAGGGGGCCTATAGGACGATTGGGCTACGGAGCAAATCGCCCAATCCTAATGAGCGGTCACCTTCACTGCCCTTATGTTTCTTTTAGCAGGATCTCATCCTTATTGTGTTTCTCTGGTCTGTTTTCCTGTCCATCTTTCTGTGAATGTCCGTCTGGGCATGGGTCCAACCTTTCTGCTAATCAACTCGCACACTTGACACTCATCTATCTATTTGGAGTGTTTAAATCCCACCTCAACTCATCAATCCCTCTATGTGCTACTAACACTACAGCTTCTAGTTTCCATGTATTAGCTTCTGCATCCCCACTACCTTCTACATTTCTAAGGTCCCACACTCCCAGGGCTCATATCCTACTGCAGATTCATGAGAGAAAAAAACTACTTTAATTTTCAGCATCTTTTGGATTTAAAGTTCATTCTTTTTTTCTTTTTTTCGACAGGGTTACTTGATACATATTCAGGTATTGTGGCTTTCTTTAGCTAAATAAAGAGGCACAGGGCAAAATCTGTTGACGAGTGAGCTTCCTTCCCTGCCCTGATCATCTACTCACTAAAGGAAAATCATTAGAGTGCTTTTTGAATGAAACAATCAAATTACAGCTGAAGCAATGAATCAATTTGTTGAAAAAATTGACAGAAAATAACGGGCTAAGCAGTTGTTAGCTCCTCCTACCAGAGAATTGTCTGCTTTCCTGTTGGCTGAACAAAGCATCTGTAGACATCACCTTAAACAGGAGGGAGACAAACTATTTTTCAACATTTAATAGATCAAAAATACACTTTCATAAAATTCAACTGTTAGACTAATCAATAACGCTTATTTGGTTTCCTAGAACTGTTCTCCATTGATAAGATATTTAAACTAACTTGTCTATGACCAAGCAGTATCTGCAGCAATACTGGAATAGAGAATTAAGTCTTTAAATAGCATGATGACGGTGATGGTGTGGGTGATGACAGTGGTATCCATGCAGGGCTTCAGTTCCCTGACAGGTCATGACCACAAAAGGAGAAAAGCTGCTCAGTTTTTCCCTTTCAGCAACTCAACATGAAGTTTTGACCCAGGGGTGATTTCTTTAGGTTCCCTCCTGCATCAAGGTTGTGCTTAGACCAGGAAACTGAACATGGGCTCTTTCTTGCTAAGTGGGCTAGGTCAGTCAGCCGTACAGCACTCCATCCCCATCACAGCCACTCACAGCTGCTGAATACATCTGGACGTGTCTTTGAGTAAGTTCTTCCTTTAAAACACAAACATGCTGGAAGACAGAACAAGAAACAGAATTCACTGACAATCAGTTCTTGGAAGCAATTGAAGATAATGACCTTGCTAATAGGAGTAGTCGCAGTACCCACTCACTTCAGCTACTCCATATTTAATTACGTTCAACCTTTCCATCCATCTTTCTTTCCACCTGTGTTCTCATCACAAAATGAAATTATGATTATGGAACCTGATCATAATAATCGCATGAAAAGGTCAACGATGGGGAGGGTCGCTGCATCTGCTTTTCAGTGTCAACGGTGAGTGGTCATTTCAACGTACATGCAGTATCATTCAAAATACGTTAAACAAATAATGAAATACAATAAAAATATTTTTAGTACACTTTTATGCACTGAAAATAAATGTTCAATTAGTGTCACATGGGCTGCACACTAAAACACTTTGACGGTGAAAATGTTATCGGTCATGTTAATGGCTTGACAAAGAAATTGAGAGGCTGTAATATTTTAGTGAACCATATTATGTATGCAGATGATGGTGTGGTCTCCAGCAGCTCCTTCACATGTATGTTCTACTTATGTGTAGCATGAGGTCAGATATGCCTGTAAGAGCGCTGTAATATTTTGTAGAACCAAGAAGGACAAACATCAAAGCTTTTCAGAGTTGAAACTGTCAGATAATAATCTTACTGTCTGTAATAAGGTCAGTAGACAGAGATTACTCAGTGGAAGTAAAATGTTAAATGTATACATTTTTTTGGAGGCCAAACACGTTTGAGAACAAGATCTTAATAGACAGAAATTTGCTTCGTTTCTATGAACTATGAGCCTGGAAAAAATAAAGACTGATTGTTTGAAATGTTTATTATTTGCTGGTCAATTCCAACATTCAAGCCATTCACCAAGTTTCAAACTATTCTGCATTAAACTCATGGATGGTATTGTGCCTCAGGGCTCTTTGGATCACTGATAATAATAATAATTAGTTTGCCAGGTGAGCCCAATTAAAGCAAAACTACTTAAGAAGCTTGCCACAGGTTTCAAGCAATATGGAAAAGAAAGATTACTTCTCTGCTGCATAAAAGTGTCAAATAGTGCAATGGCTTGCTATGAAAACAGATATTTCACAAAAACTTAAGCATGATCATCATACTGTGAAGAAATTTGTGGCTGATTCAGAGCACAGACAGGTTTGTGCAGATAAAGGCATAATGAGGTTTCTGCCAGACAAATTCATTGGATTAAGAGAGAAGCTGCTAAAATGCCATTAAAAAGCAGCAAACAGGTATTTGAAGCTGCTAGTGCCTCTGGAGTCCCACGAACCTCAAAGGGTAGGAACCTCAAAAGGCTTGCAGGGTAGGAACCTCAAAAGGCTTGCATTTGTGTATAAAGCTGCCATTCGGCCACCTCTAACCAATACTTACAAGCAGAAACAGTTGCAGTGGGCCCAGGAATACATGAAGATTAATTTTCAAACAGCCTTGTTTACTGGTGAGTGGATGGTCCCCATGTCCCAACAAGGCTGCGACGTCAGTAAGGAGGTGGTGGAGTCATGTTTTGGGCCAGAATCATGAGAGCTGGTAGACCCCAGTGGTGTGAAGTGAGTGCCACAGTCACGTCATCGATCTTAATTATAGAACTGAGACCACACATTTTGGGACTTTCATTATAAACTTAAAATTCAGTCAAGATATTGTATGCATGTATGTAAACCTGTGGAAATGGTGCACTAAAGGTTGTATGAGGAATTAATGAAGGGTGGGGAGACATGAAAGATGCCAGGGGAGGCTGTGTGCTGCACAGGGCTGCACTGTACTACAGTAAGTGCAGGTGGAGGTGACAGATTGTGGTTCCGGTCTACTGCTGGGAGGATGCCGGCAGGTTTGGGCTAGCTGCAGCTTTGTTTGAGCCAAGTCAGTGACAGGCCAGCTGGTGAATAATATAGTAAGTTGTATTTAATGCATAATAATCTAAATTGCATACATTAAGATTAAGATGATGGAATATCAGCAGTTTTTAAATGTAGTCCAATCTACGTGTGACAAATCTCAAAGCAGCAAAAAATTAAAAACAAAATCATTGAAAATATAAGAGACAAATTGAACCAAAGACTCAATTTATATTTCCTCCTCCTCTCTCTCCCTATTTCCCCATCTGCTTCTCTGTCCACGATCTTGCTGCCACCTCCTACTCTGAATGTAAACCTCTCTCTGTCCATCACTTTGGTCTCTCTTGGCAGTTGATTAGCGTCTGTCCACCCTAATCTTCTTCACGGAGCAGAGAAGTGGCTTTTTAACATTTCTAATATTCACACACAAGCAATCAGTTCACACCACTGGTAGGCATTTGGTGTGCAGTTTGAGCATAAAGTCAGTATTTAGAAAATCACTGTGCTGATTGTGATTACCATGTTGTAAAGCGGCGACCAATAATTTTCACCATCTAGTTTTTGTCAGCAAACTTTTTTTCTGACAAAAACAAGACGATAACTAACAAGTTTTTCTCGGATGCTCTGTGTTCCTCACGAAAAAGGGACAAAATGACAAAAAGCGTGAGAGGACACATTTGGCATTTCATGTTAAAGAAAATTAAGACGCTCTGTAAACTGTGTGGAGCAACTCTCGCTGGTAAAAACACTGAATCAACTTTAGATTTAGTCCAATAACTATGATAATTAGTTGACTAAACTAAAACTAGTTAAAACTAAAACTAAAGATCCTCTAATTCTTAATTAACAAAATGATGTTTTAATGAAAAGACTAAAACTATCAGACCATAGTTTAGTGCCTTCCTGGTCACCAGGAAACCCCCCCTGACACCCCGGTGGTGCCTCTCTGTGAATAAGCTAGCAGCTGTAACTATATTGTATAGTTACAGTACACTCTCTTGCCGAGTTTATAGGAAGTCTATGCATGTGGCAGTGAGCCATGATATAAGCTGTACCTTTTTCATGAACACTGACAGCTCAAGCATGTCACTGTTCAGTTTCTAAGTGTTCGCTGGTTCCTCAAAAACAAACAGTTGTTTGATGATGAATGAAACACCCAAATACAGTATGAGATATTGCATTGTAACAAGAGTACAAGAAAAGTAAAAAAGTGCTTTGGTTTGGGATTTTCCACCTAAATGTTCCAAACTAACTAAACAACTACAGCGTGAAAAACATTGATCTAAATCAACACCAGTGAAAAAAACAAAGAAATGTGATTTTTTAAAATGAATTTTTAATATGTCATTTAACAAGCGTGCAGCGGTCACAGAGGGATGCCGATCTGTTTAGTCAACGTTGCTGTTAGGCATGTGCGTCAGCAGCCACGAAGAAACCCTGCCAACACCAAAGCAGACCTCAGCTAACATTTACAATTACCACCGAGAACAAATGGACTACCAGATGCTTTGACTCAACAATTCAATTACTGTTTCTTACTGGTAACAGAGTCATTAAAGGTCAAGACAGTGCCATAATTATGGGAGAGTTTAGTAAAAGGAGCCAAAAAAAGATATCTTTCAAAGGTTAACTATGCTGTCTGTGTCATTTGTCATGTTTAATAAGGCCAGTAAAAGAAGGCAGGGTTTGTTTAATTAAGGGACTGTAAATCATCAGCTGCTAAACATGATAAAAATGTGGCACCGATGGAGATCATTACTGTCCAGTACTGGAGTGCTGGATCATTAGGACGCACTTAACAGAGGTTTAAAAAACCAAAACACCAAATTGTTGTTATGTGTAAAGTCAGGATACTGCGTTGCGTAAATGAAGCTTCCCAAAAAAGCTTGTCTAAAGATGTGCTAGGAGTCGATTGATGCCATACTTCCAGTGCCATACAGATACTAGCACTGAAAATACGTTTGATTGATGCTGATGCCTTCACCGTGGTTGTTAACGGTTCAGTTTCTCTACACTGAAAGATTTAATGCAGCTTCAGGTGGCACAAAACAAAAAGATTTGTCGTGTGTGAGAAAGGGGTCTGGATTCAGATATAATTATCAGATGCATTTATGTCTGAGGATTTAAAGGTCCGGTCTCAAATGATAAGAGGTAATGTCTTGCACACATCTTCCACATGCTGATCCTCACATATTCTTAAGCATGTAACACAAGACGCACACACAGCCACAACTCTGACATTTGATCAACCATGCATATGCTATGAAATTACCTCCCACAGATCAATATCTTGGACTGTCTAAAGTCCATTCAACTACCTGTGGACTGAGAAAAAAGGACACCACACGCCTCTGTGAGACATCAGTGGAATCAGTGATTTATAATTCATTGCCACCTATTAAATCTGTGATCAATTAAGGGCACAGTGAACGGAGCTGGCTGTAATGACTGCCGGTGCCTTTAATACAGAATAAGGTGCCCACAACTGGCCACGAGTTAATTATGACTGATCTGAAAAAGGCATTAGTTGTAAAGATTTCCGAAGCTTAATAATTGATGAAGAAACGCTGTGAATGGCACGGGGGTGTGCGTAAACAGTCAGATCAATGCTCGCTCCTCGACGGGCTAAGTTTAGACTCCCGTTACACTCGGCGCCACGAGAGCGGTTTATCAATATCATTTATTAAAATCGGTGACAGGCTGGACTCCCGGCTGCAGAGAAAAGGGGGCTTTCTGGATGCTCACGAAGCGTGAAATCACCTGGTGAGTGTGGGGATAACACAGGCGAATGAACCCTGAGTGGGAATATTAATCTTAGGAAAGCATCTGTCCTTAGAGAGGAAGAGTGCGGGCAAGCTGCTGCTGACTCATTCTCTCTTTCTCACCCTCTCATCAATGCTTCATCAAACATCCAGCGTCTTTCCTTTGGTTGTTGGTTTTTTTTCCTCTTCATTTTTTCCCCATCTGATACGACCCAGTAATGTGCTTTCATGTTTCAGTAAACATTTGCTGGGTACACAATATTCTTTATCCACAGAAGTGGAACTCTGGTTTAAACCCTAGAGGTCTTTTTCTTTCCCCCATTATGAAAACATAGCCTTTGCTTTGTTTGGGAGTGATATTTTGGAAATGAAAGTAGTCATT